TCTATAAAACAATTATATTCATTAAATTCGTTAGATATATATTGAAATTAAAAAAAGCTGACCTACTTGACTACACCATATCCCATACAAACAATCAATAACATAAAGAATGAAATAGAATTTCTTCCGGCGTTGAGAACAACAACAAGGCAAAGGAGAAATGTTGCTAAAATACAAAATTGATGAGCTTCGTTCGATCTATATTTGCTATACGTATATGTATATGTGTGCTTACATGAAACACCAAAGTTATTATAATTCTCCCAATATCCCCAATTGAAAGCCATTTCCAACATGAGAAATAGAATTACACTTGAAATATAATTCTAAAGAATTGGATCAAGATCATATATCCAAGGATCAGAGAAATTATAACATTAATTGTAGTATTAATACAATTCATACCTGTACAGGTAGAATATCTCTCCAATGTATTATACTAAGCGTCATCCATATAACACCGATAACCAAATAAACCAGTGATAAGAGTCCATAAAACTTAAGAATGATATACATTAGTCAAATTTGCGAATATAGAGGCATAGATTAGAATAATGGTAAATTTATAAAAAGTACCGGCAGCTTAGGATAATCCGAAGCGGGCAATTCACCATACGGATTTCTCCAATCAACTTTTATCATAAAAGGTGAGGTTTTATCTGGATTAGGTGAAGAGAGCCTGAATTATGTAGGAAGTTAATATCTATATTAACAAATTTAACTATTATAGAAACTACAACTTACGCTGCAACACAATAAAAACCGGTTTTATTAACTTGGTACGTATAAATCTGATCATTTGCGGTATCGTTGAATAAATGAGTACCGATACTTGATGCATTCTTGTTATAAATAACGTTGCCAAACTCTGACTCGAGGCAATGTTTTTCAGCAATTGTGTAATTATTACAAATTAACTGAATTTAATTAATTAATATTAGGTCTACTTCGAGATCTATTTCGAGAATCAGTCAAATCTATTAAACTACGAAAAATATTTACCTCTTTTCCACTGTGATATCCAATACTATCGAAATCTGAATATTCAAATATAATCACAGCAGCATTTATTTCGGAACTCTTGTCATATTTCACTGGTAAGGTGTAGTCAAGTAGGTCAGCTTTTTTTAATTTCAATATATATCTAACGAATTTAATGAATATAATTGTTTTATAGA